GAGTGCCGTTGCCATTTTGTTACCGTTTTATGGTATCATGTGACAAGAAGATGATTTCATGGCCACAATGAATGTCATATTTAACAATGTTATCCGTATTCTCCATCAGAACAGGACAATAAAGAAACAATATTATGTGAGGCTGCAGTGTTTGGACTTGCAGGCACAGATGAAAAAACAAGTCCATGCATCTGCATTAAGTGTTTAGCTTGTGATATTTTCTTAACATCAAAAACTTCCAGTTTTTATTATTACAAAATGACATGCATTTTTGGAGGTTTGATGTAAAATAATTCTGCTCTCTTACACAAATTAAATTCTTCCCAAAGCTTCCCAGATCTGGATCCGTATCATCTGTGCACATTATTATGTCGTTTATACTTTATTAGTATAAGTATTAAAACTGCTATAGATCAAGATTTGCACTTGACTGCTGAAATGACTGTTTTTGGTCGCACTAAGTAATAAAAGTCATCAGTTAATTAAAAACACTAAAAATATCTCTGTCAGGGGAATAACCTCTGAACAGATATGATATTTACTAGTTCAGTGAAGATGAATATTGATGTGCTCAGTAATTCCAGGAGCAGGATATTTCTGACAAAACACAAAATCAGCATTTTTGCCTTTAATAATTTATGTACTGATGTTTTAGAGGTCCCTTAGAGGTAATCAGGAACAAATTTTGGGCTTAAAAGACTGAAAATCGAATCTTTGTCGTCATGAGTTGAAAAAGCATTATATATTATAATGCTATTCTGCATTATTTTATGCTAAAGTGTGATTTAAAATCCTGCTTTGAACACTGACCACCACAGCTTAAGCTTAGAATATCATATTTACTAGTGATACTATTCAGAAATGCCTGAAATTACTGAAGTACTTTCTCTACAATTGTGAATGCAGGACTTTTACTTGGAAAGGAGGATTTTGACAAGTGTTCCCACCTTGCAGCATGCAGTCGTAGGCTTTCCTGTCCCGCCTCCCGAGGGCTTCCCAGAAGCCCGTGGGCTCTGCTCCCTCATCACATTCCTGGATGGTGACCTTGCTGCTGCTGTGAAGGCCGGCTTCCAGAGGACAACTACAAAAAAACAGAGTGTGTCAGACTACGGGGTCACAACTGAACTCCTGACAAGTGGAAAACAGAGGTTTGCACTCACTGTTCTTTGATCTTATTGGCAGCAGTGCGCGCCACCTCCCGCGTGTGCACCTGAGACTTGCAGCCATGCCACAGGTAGATGAGGGCCTGGCTGATGCTCAGCAGCACCATGGAGACTCTTGAGCGCAGGCTGCTGCAGTGACAGGCGACCTCCAGCAGATGGCCCTCTACCTCCACCTCCCCACGCACACAGTACAGACGCCAATCATCTGAGACAAAGAGGGCAGATGAACGGAAGTGAACGAGATGGCTAAAAGTTATTTGGAGGTGTTTAAAACGAAGAAGTTAAAAGCTGTCCACTGCAGTAGGCTTACTCTGCGAATTTTCCTCCTCCTCTTCCCTCTTTCCTGAGTGGATGACCATCCCTCCCTTGAAGCACTGCAGGAAACATGGAGGCTCCTTTCCCTGCTGGACTTGAACCTAAAGAGAAAAAAAAAAAAGATGTCAAAGCAATCATACTCCCACAAAATGAAACTGTAGACTAAGAAAGGCAGGAAACAAATTTATATTCCATGCAAACTTGGTTTTTCAGACACTCTTGTTGTACCTGTGCTCCGCGCTCTTCATCCAGCTCCACCGTCATGAGTGCTGATGTTCCTTTCTCGCTGACGGTGGAGTTGCGGCCCTGCCAGAAGAAGTAGCAGCACTTTTCCTTCCCCGCTCCTGTCGTCTTCAGCTGCTCCGGGTTCTGTCTCTTCCCAACTGTAAGGGAGACATTCATCTGAGGTCTGTGTCTGCACACGGCCACAAAACCACGATTCATGAACATACATGCTGCTCCTCAGTGTCCTAGTAGATGCACCTGTGATATAAATGTGAAAATCCTAGGTCCTCTGACTTTGAGGTTAAAGTCATCAGGATTCAAACTTGCCTGAGAATTTTAGTAGATCCATCTACGGTATGAATTTAAAAAAAAATCCTGTTCAAGTTATGAAGATCCGAAATGATTGTCATCTCTTCTGAGCTGATGAGAGGTTTTTGTATCTGCAGGCATGAAGCTGGTGTGTGACTCAATGAACAAATGAGCTCTCTAATAAATCGATAAAATGTCTGATCTGCTTCGAACTTGGCAAGTTTTCTGCAGAGTCCAATTTTAGGTCATTTGGGTAATGTGTGGTCTCAATCTTTTCAATGTTGCTAGGCAATAACCACAAAAATATAGCAGATTATGTAACAGAATAACAAGTCAAATTTAAATGTGTTTCTGTATCGATTTTTTAGTCAGTGCCCTTTTCCAAAACTCTTTGACAGAGACCTGGTGCTCGTGAATCGACATCCACATTCCACAACAGCAATGATACT